TCCAAGTCTTTAGAGATATTTACCTTCTCTGGGGAGAAGTAACACATCCTGTCCTTTAACAAGTCTGGTTGTGATGGATGTTTTCAGCTTTGGGATGTCCAAAAGCAACTTTTATTTTGATTTCTTTTTTGAAACATATTTTGGCTACATATAAGATTCTAAATTGACATTTCATTGGTTTTTGTTTTGTGTTTGTGTTTGTTGGTTTTGTCGCCCCCCTCCCCCACTCACTGCAGCTTTCTGCACCTCTCCCAGAGCTTGCTGCAGGGTTAGGCTCTAGTTCCCCAGCATCTGCCCCTCATGCTTCCCTTCCCAGTGTTCCTTGCGCTTCCCAAATACTTTCATGTGAATCTCTGTATCAGGGTTTGCTTCAGGGGGATCTAAATTAAGATTATGCCGTTCCATATTCAGTCCCAGATATTTTTGCTGGAGGGAAGTTTCTTAAATTAGTTTGTAGCCCTTATTCAGTGTCATTGCTTTGTCTTTTTTCTTATTTTCCTGCTACACGTATGTCGGTTCTTATTTTTATTGTTTATTCTCCTGAATTCTTTATCTCTTTCCTTCATTTCTTATGTTTTAAAAATCTTTCCTTCCTTTTGCCTTTTTTTTGTCTGTTAGGTATCATTTTGATATTCCATTTAGTTTAGTCATTTAAAAAATTTTTTTAAATTGTAACCATTTATCATTCTGAAATGACTTTCCTTTTATTTCTGTTTCTTCAATAAGAATTTCAGTGAGTTTTGCCACTTTTTTAAGCCTTTTTCTCCAAACACTCCACTTCTTATTTTTAAAACTCTTGTGTTGTTTTTCATAGCACTGTCTTGATTTCTCCTATCTACCTTATTTTGAAATTTGGGCTAGAGTTTTTATGCATTTTATGGGTATATTTGGCAAGGTTTCATGGTCCCATAGGGACTTTATTCTGCTTTTTATTTTCCCTTTTAATAATGAATCCTTTCTGTTGTGCATTTTTGGTGTGAAATGAGTTTTCCTGTACTTTCTTAAGTGAAGGGTAGGCCAGCAAGATTTTCTGTTGTACAGTTTCCCTTTTTGTTTTTTGTTTTTTTTTTTTTAAGTTATTGGAAATCTGCCTTCTCCAAGTCAATCCTTCTATTGGAAGCTTACTCCMCCAAGCCTTCCCTTTTTGCCTGGTGGTGATGAGAGAGGCTGTATGGGTTATTTTGTGTTCAGCAATCCCTTCCAGCAGAATACCCACACTTAGGTCCCCYATTGCCGGGCTCTGTTTGGAAAGGGAGCTTTGGTTTAGTTTCATGAGATCATGGGCCTAAATATCTCACCCTTTTTAAATCTAGGTTCTTGGAGCTCACTCACAAATTGGAGCCTGCAGAAGTGCTGCCTGATGCRGAAGCTTTGCTCAGAATGGTCTTCTGAACTTTCCAGGGTGTGGCTGTTGGTGTTTGAGGGGTTCTTCTCTTCTCCAGTCCTGAGGATGTCCCACTCTCTCCCTCTGCATCTTTGAGTGCAGATGGCAGGGAAGTCAGAACCAAGGAAAAGCTCCAAGACCCATTTGAAAAGAAAAAAATAAATTTTGTCAGAAAAGACTGGTTGTTACATCAAGAAATACTTGTAAATCTTAGGTGTAGAAAAGTTACAGTCCTACTTGAAGGGATGCTTTTTAAACACAGAAGCAGGCTAATAATGATTTGAAAGTAAATAAAAAGCTGTAAACATGTATAAGAAAACATTTTTTCCTTCTCTTTATTATCTATAAGCTTATTTGTTTATTTTATGTCATGTTTAGATAGAAACAATTAGATAAGTTTAAAGTTTCATCTTTACTTTTTACTTAAAYAGACTGAATATAGTCCAGTGAGATAGTTTACATTCTTCCATTTATATGAAGACTTGAAATCCAATGACTACTTTCCACTTTACAGCACATCTCAATCTGCTTGCTGAGTTTTTATCAGAAATACTTGATGTGTCTTTGGGTTTCATAAAATTCACAGTTGACATGTAAATTCACATACTCAAGTTGTGCAAGCATACTAAAATGTTTCCCAATAACTGGATTRGGAGAATTACTTCTTACATATAAATTAATTAAAATTGACTAAAATAGAARTTCAGTATCTGAGTGGAATTAACCACATTTGATGTGTTTAACAGTTATTTGGAGAAGCAGTTTCTAAACTGAACAGCTGTAGGAAGTAACTGCAAAGCTGGAGAACACAGATTATTTCAATTTTGTACTATTTGCATATATTGCTTATCTAAATAAATGAATAAATTGATTTCTTTGTTAAAAAAAAAACGACAGTAAGTTTTAAAGCAATAAATGGTAAGTAATTAGGTCATGGAAATCACAAATACACTCCTACAGGATATATGGGGAATGGGGAACAGTTACCTTCATATTATACAAGTAAGTCTCTCATGGCTTAGAATAAAATTCCCCGTGATAACATTCCATAAACACATTCCAAAAATACTGTATCACAAACAGCTTAMTTGAAAGTAAGATTATGTGCCTGGTAAAGCTGCATTTAACTAAAAAAACAGGATCAGCGKGTTAATGAAGATATAGGTATCTAAGGTAAACACAGCTTGAGTAGAATAATTTTATAAAATGGGAACAGAAAAAAATATTTCTGAATTCATATTTTATAGATTTGATTTTAAATACATATATATGGACTTCAAAAATTAGATAYCATAAATTTAAGCATATGCACATTTAAAATGTGCTTAAGTATATTTTATTTATTTCCATCCATGTTTATAAGTGGAATCAGCCTATATTTTTTATAGTGTTTTGCCTGGTTTTAGTGTTGATATTATAGTCTTAAATACAGGAAGTGGGGCCCAAATAAAGCCCTTCCTTTTTTATTAAAATGGGGTATGTTATAGGAAAATTAGCACAGCTTTGTCTTAAATTCTACAACTTACCTTTGTTTGTGGGGTTATTACTACAGTCAGGGTTTATAACCCTTCTTTAGCTAATTTTAATAAATGCATTCTTAGAAAAACTTTTCTTCATTGCCATTTATAAAAAAATATTTTATAATTTTTCAATCTCCATTTATTTAGTTTTGTTTCATTTCTAAGGACACTTTTTGTTTCATATCTTAGACACCTTTCTCAAAAGAGTAAATAGGGTCTTAGAAATCTTGGGAAAAGTCAGGTGCAGGGGTGCTCACCAGTAATCCTAGGAGGCTGAGGCAGGAAGATCACAAGTTCTAGGCCAGCTTATCAATTTAGCAAGACCCTCAGCAACTTAGTGAGACTCTGTCTCAAAATTTAAAAAATAAAAATTGTTAAGGGGTTAGTGGTGTAGCTCAATGGTAAAGTGGCCATGGGTTCGATCCCCAATACCAAATAAAATAAAATAAAATAAAGAAAATCCTATAAAAGATAAAGCCCATTTGAAGAGGAGATGGACTAGGTTCCTGAATAAATAAGTGAAAAGAGGAAACTCATTTTGAAGAGTGCGTTCTACCCAGGTGCAGGGAAATGGTGTCTCTTCCTGGTTTCTTTTTATTTATTTGTTTATTTTTAAGCTATTTTTTAAGTTGGCAATGGACCTTTATATTTGTTTACTTATATGCGGTACTGAGAATCAAAACCAGTGCCTCACAGAGCTTAGGTAAGTGCTTTATCACTAAGCCAGAACCCTCTTCCTAATTTCTTGAAGAAAAAGAGTGTGAATAGGAAGATCAGAAGAGGGAAGCACTGGCAAAGGCCCTGGGGTTAAGAAGGGTTGAAAGTCTGAGGGCCAGAGGAGAGTCAGACAGAACTGGGGAAACTGAAAGTCAAGGTAACTGAGTATAGAAGAGATTCCAGGAGTAACTCATTTCCTACCAGAGACACACTATATCTCACAAAAAGAGGGCAGAGCATTATTGCAAGTGGCTCAGCCCTTCAGAGTTCAGACTTGGGGTCCCTGTTTTCTGGATCCCAAGCCTGGTGGGAAGGCAAGCATGGGAGACTCACAGCTATGTTTCTGTTTTTGTTTATCCTGAGGCGGGGGAACAGGTAATAGAAGTGTAACTGTCCCTTCTGTGTCTCTGCCCTGTAGCTATAGGGAAGAGGCATCATTCACCCTCGGACAGCATGAAGAGTTGGAGGCTCTATTGAGCCAGACCATGCTCCAAAATAATAACCTCCAGAGGGAGCCAGCTTTGAAACTCAGCCTACAGGAGAAACCAGGAAAGGCTGGACCCTCTGGGGTGTGCTGGGTACGTCATCCAAACCACCTTGGAATATTCAGCCTGGAAATTCCCTCCTAACACAATAGCATTCCTCTATCAAGTAGCTACTGAACTGGTACTGCAATCACATATGTTGGTCTCACTATCACACACTTTCAAAGGCAGGGAATTTGAGGTTCAGAGGCAAATGAGGGTCAGAGAGATAGCAAGTACTGTAATTAATTGAAATCCAGAAGAGTCTTTGTTTCTTCTTCTTCTCCTCCTCCTCCTCCTCCTCCTCCTCCTCCTCCTCCTCCTCTTCTTCTTCTTCTTCTTCTTCTCTCTCTCTCTCCCCCTCTCCCTCTCTCTTACTGGGTGGTCTCACTATTTTGACCAGGATGGTCTTGAGCTCATGAGCCCAAGGGATCCTCCTGCCTCTGTCTCCCAAGTAGCTGGGACTACAGGCACATACCCCACACCCAGGCCACAGTTTTACTCGTAACCCTTGCACTGCAGAACTCAAATAGAAGAGGCTATCATCCAGACTGACTCCTTGGGTCGAGTCTTCTTCACAACACCTGTAGTCTGTTTATTCACAGCACTACTAATGGACAAGTGACTCCCTCCAACCTCTGAGTCCGCCAAGGCCCATAACATGTCTGCCGAGACTTTCTAAAATAAGCCTTAGAAGTCCCTGTTCAAATTCCTCACTTCTCCCTTCATCTCTGAGCTCTTCTCTAGAGTTTAGGACCCTTCCACTGAACCCCCAGCATAATCTCTGAGACACACCCTCTTTCTTTCCCTCCTCTTTCTCTGAGGTCCCTGTCCTGACCCTCACCATCCTCCCTCATGCCCACCTCTGCTGTCTCAGAACCTGGTGTCGTGGTGAGTTGGAGAGGACATGAGGGTTACAATACAGCTGTTTTCCCCAAGGAGAAGCCTCACACACCTTCATTAAGACACCACTATGTTCCCCTCCCCACACTCCAGTTTTGGTTCAGAAACAGGAGGTTCAAATCGAGGAAGCAGCAGCAGCAATAACAGTAACCACTAAAGCCACCAAACCAGATCCTTGCAGCTGAGAAGAATGTGCCCACCTCCCCCAGTACTTTGTCAATYCTTACTCTTTCTCTCCTGTGGCTCCAGGATTCTAGAACCCCCTTCTACCTCAGCCTGCAAGCCCTTCCAGTTGGTCAGGGCACTATCTTCATGGAGTCCYACAAGAGAATCTCAAATGTAAGACCCTTAGTTGGAGTGGCTGGTGGACTCAGTTCCTGCCTTGAATTCTGATGCCTGTGACAGCCCAAATCCTAGAACTGTAGTTTTCCTGACAAGGGTGAGATATCCAGCTCTTCTATCCACAGCCTGGATCAGTATCTTTCACCTACACGGTTCCAGTTAGAAGGACAGGGTTGCTCTCTCAGGACATTTGCTGGCCCAGCTGTTGTTCTATCTCCCAGCAAACCTGGTCGAGTAGGACAAGCCAAGCCTTCGCAGCCTGCAGCCTATGAGACAGCCCAGGGTTCCAGAACCCCTCCAGTGGGCTAGAACTTTGCATTTCTCTGACCAAAGTACTAACAAATAGCAGATCATTTAGAAAAGACATCTTCTTGCCTTTTACATGTGACTATCTTCTTTCTTGATTTCAGTGAAAATATTGTAAAAACTAGAGGGTTTTTTTTTTGTTGTTGTTGTTGTTGTTGTTTTTCCCAAGTGTAGCTCAGCACTACTCAAATTGGGCCCCAAAGCTCTTCCTGGGTCGAGGCCTCCTAGTTGCCTTCTAGAAGGACAATGAGACTCCAAAATTCCCTCTTCCTGAAACTATCTTAAACTTTTAAAGAGAGGAACAGTGGCATTAGGTGTCATTTACTTTGAATAAAAGAGAATTATAGACACATTTTATTTCTAATATTTAGTTTGGGGGCTTTCTAGAGGGAATTTTAAGTTAAAATGTGAGAGAAAAATCACCATTGCCATTAGTTAGGTTGTTGTGTGTGTGTGTGTTTAGTTCTGGGGATTGAACCTAAGGATGATTTACCATTGAGCCACATCGTCAGACTTTTTTATTTTTTATTTTGAGACAGGATCTCACCAGTTGCTAAATTGCTGGGGCTGGCTTCCTGCCTCAGTCTCCCAGTTGCTGGGATTATAGGTGTGCATCACAATGTCCGGCATTAGTCTTAACATAGAATAAGAGTCCAGACATAGTAAAAAGTATGAAAACTATCATTCTTCTTTTGAAGAAGGTATGATAATCCAGGAAAACTGAAAAAATCAGAGTTAAGCTTTTAGAGTAATATTTCAGCACATTTTCCAGCAATATGATCAACCCAAATAATCAGTAGCATTTCTCAACATTAGTAATAAGGAGATATATAGTAAAATAAGAACCTTTCAATAAATGATACATCTAGGAACTAAGAAAATTAAGATCTTTGGAGAAAACTTCAAAATTGAAAAAAGAAATAGAAAATGTTTTGAATAAAGGGCATTGGAAGTCATAAAATAATAAATTTAAGAGGATTGAAATATTCAAAGGATATTCTCCAAACATAAGGAATAAAATGAGAAATCAATGGCAGAGGAAAATTGGGAAATTCATAAATATGTAAATATTAAAGAACACACTCCTAAATGACCAGTGAATTAAGAAAAAACACAAGGAAAATTGAAAAATGCTTTGAAATACATGAGAACAAAAGCACAACATGCCAAAATTCATGGGGTAAAGTAAATCACCACTTAGAAGGAAACTTATAGCTGCAAATTACCTTTAGACAAAAAAGGAGCTGATCTAATTATATTAATACCTGTCAAATTAAACTTTAAGGGAAAACACTTTATTAGAAATAAAGTAAAATAGACATTAACAAAGGGAACATTTAGCTTGAAAAATATAATTATGAACTTGCAGATAGTTAATAACGTCTACCTAAAATATATGAAGCAAAAGTTAAACCAAAAGTTTCTTGGAGAAACTTGATAAATACTTAACCATAATATAAAATTATCATAAAACACTCTCAATAACTGATAGGTGAATAGATTAAAATTTAGTTAGGATGAAAAAAATTTAACCAAACAATAAGTTTAATCTAATGGAAGTGTGCAGAGTTTATATGTAGATTTCTACATACACATTCATTTCAAGCACAAACTAGATCACAAAATAAATCTTAACAAACTCAAATGAATCAATAACATGAAGACAGAACCCTTTGATCATAAGATAATAAAATTAAGAGAACTCCACCTCTCTATTTAGAAATTAAAATCAACAAGATAATAAAATTAAGAGAAACTCACTTCTCTACTTAGAAATTAAAATCAAAGAAGAAACAATAATTTGAATAGTCGAGTAGCACACATATAAGACTAACCTGGGGCAGCATGTATTGGGAGAAATAGCAGAAATATTGGCTATAGCATGTGTTCAGGCCTGGGACAGGGTCATTGGTCCTTAGGCTATGAGAAGATTTTGTTTTGYTTTGTTTTGGTTTGGTTTTTCACTTTTGATTTTTCTTAATATACTTTATGTTTTAGAGCAGTTTTAGGTTCACAGCAAAATTGAGCAGAAGGTACAGAGAGTTCCTACATACTTTCTACCCTTATTCACACAGCCTCCTGGACTATCAAGCTCTCCCATCAGAGTGACATATTTATCAYGATCAATATACATTGACACATCATTATCACTCACAATCCATAGTTTACATTAGGTTTCACTGTTGGAGTTGCATATTCCATGGGTTTGACAAATGCATAGTAACATGTAGTATCATAGAGGATAGTTTATAGTATCATATAGAATAGTTTCACTGCCAAAAAATTCTTTCCTCCACTTATTATCCCTCCCTCCCCAAACTTCTGGCAACCACTGATCCTTTTACCATCCTCATGGTTTTGCTTTCAAATCATTTCCACCTTTAAAAAATAGAAAAGAAGACTAAACCAAGTCCAAAGAAAGTAGGAAGAAAAAAATCCCCAAAGCAGAAATAAATGAAACAGAATAGAAAAAGCAATAGAGAAAAAAAATGAACCCAAAAGCTAATTCTTTGACAAGATCAACAAAATGACAAACCTCTAGCTAGTCTGACCAAAAGAGAAGGAAGAGTAGAAAAAGGAGAAGGAAGAGAAGGGGGAGGGAGAGAGGAAGATGATGATATAAATTATTAGAATCAAAAATGAAAAAGGGGATTTTATATGCATATTACAGAAATAAAAAGCCAATATAATGGAATATTATGGACAACAATATGCTAACAGATAATTAGTGTAGATGAAAAGAACAAATTCCTTAGAAGACAAATTATCAAATCTAATTCAACAAGAAATAGAAACACTAAGGCCATAACAAGCAGAGAAATTGAGTTAATAATAAAAAAAAAACTTCCCACAAAGAGAAGCCCAGACCCAATGTCTTCACTGCTAAATCCCACCAAATGCTTAAAGAAGAATTAACAACAATCCCTCACCAACTCTTTAAAAAAACAGAAAATGAGAGAATACTTCCTAACTCATGAGATCAGTAACAACGCAACACAAAAACTGAACAGACACCACAAGAAAATGTCAGACTGATATCTCTTCTGAATATAGATGCAAAAGTCCTCAGTAAAGCTGGGAGAGGTGGCACACTCCTGTAATCCCAGCAACTCAGGACACTGAAGCAGAATGATCACAAGTTCAAAACCAGCCTCAGCAAAAACAAGGCACTAAGCAACGCAGTGAGACCCTGTCTCTAAATAAAACACAAAATAGGGCTGAGGTTGTAGCTCAGTGGTCAAGTGCCCATGAGTTCAATCTCCAGTATCCATGCCACCCCCCCMAAAAAAATCCTCAATAAAATACTAACAAACTAAATCCAGCAGCATATAGAAAAGATTATATATTACCACCAAGTGTTGAACCAAACGAAAGTTTGGTTCAACATGCAAAAGTTGATCTATACAATATTAATAGAATAAAACACAAAAGAACACATGATCGGGCTGGGGATGTAGCTGGAGCGGTAGCCAGCTCCCCTGGCATGCGTGCGGCCCAGGTTGGATCCTCAGCACCACGTACAAAGATGTTGTGTCTGCCAATAACTGAAAAATAAATGTTAAAGTTATCTCTCTCTCTCTCTTTAAAAAAAAAAAAAAAAAAGAACACATGATCATCTCAAGAGGCACCGAAAAAGTACCTGACAACATTCCATACCCTTTCATGATAGACACTCAACAAACTAGGACAATCAAACTCTTCTCCTTCAACCTGATAAAGGCCATCTTTAGAAATCCACAAGTAACATCATACTGAGCAGTGAAAGACTGAATGCTTTCCCCCAAAGGTCAGGGACAAATCAGGGATGGCCCCTTTCACCTCTCTTGTTCAACATTGTGTTAGCCATTCTAGGGAAGACAAAAATCCTCCAGAAAGTAAAGAAAAGAAAAATACCTCTGTTCACAGATGGCATTATCTTATACATAGAACTTCATTAGGAATCCACAAGAATAGTATAGAACTTATGAACACATTCATCAAAGTTTCAGAATGCAAAATCCATCTTAGAAATTTTTACAATGTTCATCTGCTGGTTTCTCATGCCAGGTAAGCTTATCCATGTGGACATACCTGCATGGAAGAATCCAATGGAGAGGAGAATGCATTGACTGTAATTTCAGTAGAATTTAATAAGACTGTTTTTAGTTAAAATACTTTCAAGTTACAGCTAGCATTGTTGAGCCCTCTGTATGTAGGAGATATTATTCATGTGATTTACATGTCTCAATGCATTATTACACATGGTCCCACCAAGTATCATTATGCTCATTTCACAACTGGAAAAAGTGAGATAGAGAGTGGTTAAGTAATTTGGTCAAAGCCACATATCTAGAAATTAGCAAAAATGCTTTCTTCAGAATATGGCTAAATGTGTTTATTTGAAAAAGATCAATAACACAAGACTGGGAGTTAGAAGAAAGAAGTGGGTCCTTCCTCTGCCTCCTACACTAGTAAGCCCTGGGACGGACCTTGGACAAGTAATTTACCTTCTCTGAACCTCTGTCTCCTCATCTGCAAAACAGAATTGGAGCAAATGGCATCTAAGCCTCCTACCACCTCTAGTTCTGTACTTTGGACTTATTCTACCCCTGATTTCTGAATTACAAACTGCCTTCTCCAGCCACCTGGGAAAGGCAAGAGCCAGCAGAGAACAGCTGCTGACTAGTCATGACAAGAAATCGGAGAAACAGCAACAGGACAGCATGTCACTTGCACAAGTCAATGTTTCAGCCAGCCACTGGGCTTAGGTGAGAAGCGTGGTTATAATTAGAGCAGCAGTCGGTGCTGAATGCTCCACCAGTCTCCTGGGGCACAGCTGGACCTGTCCACTGCACACACAGGACTCCGAGGCTGCTCTGGCTTTGAAATAATCCTGCAAAGGGTTTTTCTCTTTCCTCGAGGGAAAGAAAGCCCATTGAAATAGAACCCATTTCCCATTAGGTTTTCCCCTGCTAATGTCATTCCAGTAGAGACCAAGTGATGATACAGAGGGGGAAGGAAAAAGTCGTAAGCTGAGCCTGGTCACATTGCCCCTTGTGATATAGTTTTATTTTTAACTTCAAAACACTTGAACTATTTCTGTTTAAGTTTTCTCCCCTTCCCTGCCTTCCCAACAGAACTCTGTCCTCTGCTGCTGCGGATACACCCAGGTATCTCCCGGAGATCTGCTTGCTCACCATTGAGGCACACAGGAGCAGCAGATGCTGACTCAGCCTGCACTGTTAAGGTAAGCTCTTCAATCAGGGGCAGGTGTTCCATGGGGACATTCAGATGATGAACTTGCAGATGGAGGCTTGCTGTGCATCACCTTTGTGCCTGAGGAAGTGGATTGTTGATCAGATTCATTGTGGGGGGTTAGCCCCCAAGAATGAGACCCAGCCATGTGTAAGCTGCAGTGTCAAATTTAAAATCTTAGAGCAGCTTAGAATCTAAACTGCTGATGGTTTAGGTTCTTTCTTCTACAATTAACCAGAAAAGTTATGTGATAGRGGGAGCAGGTGATAAGTACACAGGGGGAAAGTGCAGACCCAGAATTCCTATTTTCTAAAGTCCAAACGCTATGATCTTTTCTCTAATCTGCATTGTCTGTGTTCATTGCAAGTCATTCTCATGCAGCTTAAATTCCATCTACTGTATCACACTACCAGTTAATGCAACAGCTATACTTACTGCACGCACTTTTTAAACTCTGTCTGCAGTAAGACTTGTTTTTCTCTTAACAATATTCCCTAAATGGGACTCTCTCCTCCCCAGGTCTCTTGAATCCAAAATGCATCCACGGAATATAAGTGAAAGTACTGTACAAGTTAAAGCTTTATATAAGCTTATACATCCAAACCAAAAATTGTTACAAACTTGAGACTTGCCATCCAGAGGAACAACAGCAAAATGATTGAAGATACAGGCAGTACTAAAAGCTATAAAATACAGCTAGATTATTCGTGGCTTCTGGAATAACTGTATAGTGTTGCATGCGCGTGCGCGCGCGCGCACACACACACACACACACACACACACACACACACACACCAAGGGTAACGGAGCACTGTTTATTTTCTTGTATTTCTCTGGTTCAAAGTTCAGCTAAGGACATCCTGGGAAGTAGCTTATGCAGCAAAAGGGATTCTGTATACTAAACTTGGAAGTGTTCAGGTGAAAGCCAGCAATGCCAACTCAAAGGAGACCTAAAGCAACCACTCAGATACCCTAGTTTCTGGTTCCTTCTTACCTGTCTCTATAACCTCCAGATATACTCGTGACTCTGCACTAAGTGTCTGTGTTATAATTATGCCTGTTTGCTGGGCACAGTGAAATTCACCGTGTATAATTGCTTAACTTCATTTAATTTTGCCAGGGTTTCCATGGCACTAAATCTACAAAATGTATGCTGGGGTGCCATCCCAGTGAGACTAGATTACGCTGATTTAGCAGTAATAGAAAGCCTTCATTCAGAGCCACCCCTAGATAATAGCCAATTAAACAACGAAGCAGATTAAAAGCAGAGAGATGTCTAGTGTAGGTGGAGAACTGTAGATTGTGAAGTTGTAGAGATCTGGGGAGAGTGGTTAGGTTTTTAGGGCGTGGTGAAGTTAGTAGAAGCCTGAGGTTATGGAATCATTCTCAGTCAACTGGTTGTATAAAAAAAAAAAAATCTCAAGATGCAAAAGGATTACTTCAATGGTTAACTTTAAACATTTCTTTCCCTAAAATTAAATATCTCCATAGCAGGGAAATAGGTTAATAATATATAATTAGAGTAATTCCTTGGCTGGTTAATAGGTTAAGAGTTAAAGTACATATCTTTGACCTTTAACTTTTAACCTTGACTCTTTCACTGAAGTTGAAGCTCAGAAATAAATCATTATTACTAGGGCTAGCCACATGAGGAGGCAGAATAGTTAGTCACTGACATCATGTGAGGGGTGCTGAGAGGGCCCTTTACCTAAAAATATCTCCCTGACATCAACTCTGTTTGCTACTAACTTTAAAATTATAGTAAAGAATGTTAAAACTATTATCTGTTAATCCCATTCTCTTTTGCTTGAGTCAGTGTTTAAAATACATCTCCTATACCTGCTATCATGACCTTCAGTGAGTGACGCTTGGTCACCACCTTTGCCTCATTCTTCCAGGCTCTGTCCAACTCAGCCCTCAGTACCATGTAGGCTGCCTTTGACCACCACCCGGCAGGTAGCTCTGGGTGGTGCTGTGGTTTCTCCAGACTCAATAACAACATCCCAGTGCAGTAGAAAAGAAACATGTGATTAGACTCTGAGACCAAGGTACTTTCCTTCTCTGAGTCTTCCATTCTCTTCTAAAAAATAAGGTGAACCTAGATCCTCTCCTTTCAAAGTGATTTCCTTGCACCATCAGCATTGTCTCAAGCTGATTACAGGAGAGAGGCTCAGGCTTCACTCCAGTCCCACTGAATCAAAACCTGCACTTTAAGAAGATGGTCCCAGTGATTCTCCTAGTGGGAGAAGCTCTGGAGTAGAGGATTTCTTGTTATCTGCCTGGTCCACACTTCTGATGGTATGGCTGAAGTGGTTCAGAGAACAAGGTCCCGGTAATACCCTGGAAATAAGCCTGGTGGTGCTCAGTGTGTCTTTAACTCCAATCCACTGAAGCTTCTTCCACCTAAGCTAGTTAGTTCCACCCTTTTTAAAAAGCACCCCCCAATTAGCATCACCACAATTTCTTCCTAAATTTGTTTCCAGTTGCTCTCACAGCTCTTTCAAAATGCTACTTTCTTTTAGGTTCTGTTTAATTCAACTCCATCCTATTCTGTAAATACCAATTGAGTGCTGGGTGCGGTAGCAGCAGCACCCACTCTCTGGCCCCTCAGAGCTCATGCAGCGTGTTCCTTGAGAGGCGATTGAGCCCTCCATTGACAGTCCAGTCAGAGCACCTTCCACTGCCTTGCTGCGCCTGCCAGTCTTGCAGGCCATATGAACCTCTCCCTGCTCCCAGCTTCCAACTACCTCCACCAGTCTCTGCTGCTGTAGCAGCTAATTACAAGAGAGAAGCCCAGTCTGACTGGCACCTTCCATTTTCCTTAATGAACAGGAGAATATAGGTAAACACTTAAACTTATACAAACTTGGGCCTAGGAAAGAAAAATGCCTTCAGCTTGTCTTTGTGACATCTAAAAAGTTCCAGGCCTTCTGATGACAATAGCCCCCACCCCCCGGGGGGGAGGGGGCAGTATCCCAGGCCTGAGCATACTATCTGAAATCATGAGAGCTTAAGGAATGCTTTGGGGGTGATTAGAGGAGCCCTGAGGATTATGGGGATTTACATTCTTAAAAGACCGAGGTAAGGCTATTTATTTATTTATTTTTTAAATGGAGTTTTGAAGATTATTAAGTTGGCATTGTTACGTAGGATACATTGGAGTAAGGGGCAACTGAAAATCAAAAGGCCAGCCAAGGRCCTCAAGAGCAATACAATGTGAAGAAATAAAGGCCTGAAGAGGGAGGTGACCAGGAGAATGGCTTAAAAATTGAGTGACTTTGTTTACCTTTGATGCTCATCCAATCTGATGGGTTATTATCAGCCCTATTTTATGGATGACTTAATTGGCTTTGGGGAGATTAAATAACTTGTCAAAAAGTACTTAGCTACTTCATGAGAGTATGGATTGATGTACTTCACATTGGAGGTGTCACATAAGCCTCTTTGTGGAAGTAACATGCAAGGTGATCTCTAAATAGGGAGAAGAAGCTTATAATGCAAATGAGAAACGAGGGGAGAATTCTCCCTGTAGAAAGAGAAAGTATGTGGGTCTCATACTGGAGTAAGTCAAAGGTGGAGCCAAGTGCACAAGGGCAAGAGATGAGGTCAAAGGGCAGGAGACATTCACAAATGGCCTTGTRAACCATGACAAGGACTTCCACACTTTATTTCTTGTGATGGAATTGGATGGAGATTTTAAGCAGAAAAGTAATGACCTAATTTTATAAATTGTTAAATCACACTTTCTGCTGGCAAATATGGATTATGGGGTACAAATTAAGGGACTTTAACTGATCATAACCTCATTATACTGGACTGAATGAGAGATCATAGTGCTTGGGCTTGCGCAGTGGTGGTGGAGGATATGGAATGATAGAATTACCCACCGACCTTCCCCATTAACTGGCAAGTAGTTCCTTTCTACCTGGAAGCACAATAACAAGCTGTTATAGCTCAGTGGTTCTCAAACTGGAGCTTCCATAGAATCAGCTGGATTCAGTAGATCTAGGGTAGAGCCTCAAATCTGTACTTCCAACCAGCTTCCAGGTGATACTGACGCTATTTGCCTGGGGACCACACTGCCTTTGCTAATCATTTTACTACATCCTGAGTGGTCCACACAGCACTATGATCATCATCACATCAAACTGTTGCCAGGTTCTAAACACTCCCCTATTTCTTTAGTGAAATATCCATTCCTTAAACTCACATATCTGGTCCTCCCACAACTCCACTTCAGCTATATCCAATACACAGTGAAATCTAAGTCCATGTAGGTCTTTGGACTAATTTAAATCTAAATTGTGTTACTTTGACYACTGTCCCCTCTAGACAGGGGAACTTTAAATTTCATTTTAGGAGGGGGAAAGTATATTGATCATGTGCTTGACTGAAGTTCATTCGTAAGAGGATGGGATGCATTACCTTTTCAGTCTGGAAATGAGAATTCAAGGGGCTKGGGATGTGGCTCAAGCGGTAGTGCTATCACCTGGCATGTGTGCGGCCCAGGTTCGATCCTCAGCACCACATACAAACAAAGATGTTGTGTCTGCCGAAAACTAAAAAATAAATATTAAAAAAAAGAGATAATTCAAAGGTGAATATAAGAGCATAGAATTTGAAGGGCTCAGGCATAGATTTTTGTCAACTTTTTCACAGTAAAAAGTTTATATCATCTAAAAGTTTATATCATCTAATCATATTGATTTAGTATGTACTTCATTTTAAATTTCAGAATCCATATTTTAGTACATATTTTTAACACTAATCCCTTCCCTTTCAYGTCTGTGTTCCATGAAATGCAAAGCCATCAATCAGACCTAGATCCTCCTCTTGTTTCCTCTACTCAGAGGGGACATAATATGGGATAAGGTTTAGAGACATACCAAAACAAAATGAAAACTTCTCTACAGAGATGGAGATGATTCCTAATGAAGAACACCTGGCTCCTTTACAATAGGAATAGATCATATATGTGGCCACCATGCTGTG